CCTTTTAGCGGACCATTCTGTCATTTCTGTCCCCGTTCTCACCCTCTTGCGTTACTTTTTACACCCTCCCCCGACTTCTCCCACCTCACCCATGGCTGCGTCCACGGTCACATGGTTCCACCGCCGGGCTTCCCGAAACTTCCACTTCCACAGGACACCGTACCCAGGCCTGTCTGGACCAGAGCTCTAACCAACCAACCAACCCTGAGGACTGCCGCTAGTCTGTCAGACGCTCAAAATTAAAAGCAGCAGCAGGATTTCCGAGAAGCGGCCAGCGGCGGTCCGAGCTCACAGACAGGCGGGGGGGCTCCACTTCAGAGCTCATATACGAAACCAGCCCACGTTTCACTCACAGCGGGATCGTTTAGTCTGATGCTTTGGCTGGATAGTTCACAATGTGAAGTCATGAAGTGTTTAGCCCCTCAGAGGAGAAGCCTCTCCGTGGATATATCTGGATCATTCTGCACATGGTCACTCATGGCAACATTTAGCCAATAAACATATCACAGACTTTGATCTGCTCACATGTTCAGTACCTGCTCTGAACTGAAAAAAAAAAAAAAAACGTCATAACATGTTCTTATCATGTTATTCCATCTGAGGGGGTTAATCGTGTCCTGACAGCTTGTTTAGCAGATAAGATGGTGTATTTATGTTTTTATTTATTTATCTTTTCTTTTTATCTGAGAAAGAGCAGTTTGGATTTGGGGAGAATGAAGGTGTTGCACTAAATGTAGCAAATCAAATGATCCGAAATGCCAACACACAGTAAAGGAAGATGCTATTTTATATTTTGTAGATTTATTTTAAAGATTTTTTTTTTTTTTACATTGAATTCCTCAAAGGCCAAATCAAAGGTGTCGGTGTAAAACGTATTTATCAGCCCACGGGCTCTACAACTTAATACATGTTAAAACAGATTAACATTAATACTACGGGCAGACATTACTAGATACTAACGTTTGACTGTGTTAATTTAGGTGAACGTTTTAGCTGCTATCAACACTTCTCCTTTGCCGTATTTAAGTTCTCACCTGGCTGCCAAGGAATTAAATGTTTGGTGTTATTGTGGCTGAGAGAAACATAGATCCCATCCTCTCAGCCTTTGTTACCACGCGGCAGCCATGCATCATGTGGAGTTTCTGCTGGAAACAAATAAAGCTCTGAGGTTTCAAGAAAAGTAAAAGAGGTCATTGCTATTTTCCCGTTTTGCCCCCTGCCACGATGCTGATAAGTTATCAATATGTACCACTGTGGTTGGTGGTTAAGCTTCATCTCCTGTTGATTAGTAAGGGATCCAGGAGGCCTGTGCCAGTTATTAAAGGAACCATTTCAACATCGAGCCAATTTTCACCATCTGCTCCGCAGTCAGGAGCCAGACGGGCAAACTGTTGCAGGCCCGTTTTCTAACTGGAGCCATTACTCGATCTGTGAGGGTGTCAGACAGGGACAGCTTACAGAGGTCAGTCATTTCAGACAAATCTTTTATTGGAAAAACAACCAATATTCTCCCACTTAAATGTCTCAGATGTGATCTTGGGGGGGGGAAAAAAGAGTAAAAGTGATGATTATAACAGAAAACTGAGGAGTTTATAGCCTTTATATCCCCGATATTGCGAATCTGGATTGTTTGTTAAAAAGTAGGGCTGCAGCTAATGATAGCCATCAGATAATGTATTGATAATTTGATTTAGGAAGTGAAAATGTGTGGGACAGATTGAGTTTTAAAGGTCCAGCCCCTTTAAAAGTCTGATCTCATAATGTGGAGACAAACCTTTAACGTTTAAGCGTGTCTTAGTCATTTGGTAGGGATTTTTGTCAATTACTCTTCAGTCATTTGATCAAAAAGTCACACGTAATTGATTCAAAGCTTTGAGAGGAAGGGGGTCCGGATCCCAGCGCATCACTGTGACGTCAGACCGACAAAGAGACGTGGCACGCGGACGGTTAAATGATCGGAGCCGTTGCTCAACGTCCCGTCTTCGCGTTTCAATTCAAAGCAGCGAGGAGCCAGGAAGTCACGGTTCCCCCCTCTCCCCAGCAGACAGACAACAGCCCATCTGGACTCGGAACATGGCTTCGAATAACGGCTCCGCCGGGAAGTGGGAGGTAGTGAAGAAGGGGAAGAAAAGTAGCAACAACTCCGGCGGCGGAAAGAATCCAACTGACAAGAAATCCGGCAGCGGCGGAAGGAAAGCTTTGGGCGAATCTAACCAGCAGCCGTCCAGACGTAAGTGAACACGGCCTGCGGCTAGCTGCTTCTTCCCCTGGACCCTACTTAGTCCTTAAATATTAAACCAAAACATTAGGGGGGAACACAGAAAAGCACAGTACCCTATTATGAACCTATAGTTATAAATAATACCGCAAACCAACGAGCCTCATCTCAACTGTCACCTGATTTGCTTTAGCTAGCTTTAATAGCTAATTTGCGTGCATTACTTTCTGTTTTGATTCTGTTTAGTTTTATTTGTGGCTTTATCGGCGGTTCCCCTGAAGGGGACACGTTGAAATATTGGCTGGACGTTTATTTTTAAAGGATAACTAAGTGCCCATTCCGGCCAGAGCTCACCTGACACGGACACCAGGGAGCTAATGAGCACATGCTAGCACGGTTAGCTCATTAGCAGCTTTCCTCGATGTGTCAACAAAGTCAACGTCACCGCCGATCCGCTACTTCTCCGAGGCACATTTGTGCCGTTGCTTGCACCTGTAAAGGCATCTTATAGTTGTTTTCTTTTAGGATGTTTTGGTTGGAAATAAGCGGGCAGCGTTAGCTTTTTTTTGTCCACCGGGCTTAGAGTCACAGCTGTCACTGGTGTTGGGGATCATTTACGACGTGGCGACTTAAACCCCGTGTTTCAGTCCACCCCGGCCGTAAACTTTTAATTTTTAAACAATCTTAAGCTATGTCTGATATACAAAAATCTGTAGTTATTGTGTTTAATAACTTCATCTAATATTGTGGCGACTTTTCCCTTTTATTTGAATTTGTTGTATTTTTATTTAGGCCATAGGCTGAAGTTTCCTGTTTTGTTTGTTGATAAAGACAGTCTGAGCAGTCACGTGTTGTTTGTTTATACAACCACAGCTTGATTTAACGTAATTACTTTAGTTTTCCAGAGAAAACTGATTAAAAATACTCTAACCTTTAACTTTAATTTTTAAGTTGGAAAATAGGTTGCTTATTGACTTATTGCTCATTGCCCAAAGTTTCATAAAAGCAACACTTTCTGAAAAACTAATGGTCTTGATTAACAATTGAGAAATAAAAAGAGGGTTTTAAGTTTTGGTCTGTTGTAGGTAATAAAACTGGGAAGGGTCATCTACCAGCAGAACCATAAACATCTCATTGTGATTAAAATGTTGTATATTTTAACAATGGGCAGATAAGGCAAGGAAATTAATTGATCAACACATGCTGTAGTTAGTAAAAACAACAACAATACTTTTAGCAAAATTGTCTGCAAAACTAAAATACTTCAGGGGCAGTTAGTTTGATTTGATCCCTGAAGAATATCAGCTGACACAGAAGTGATCTAAGTGCTTGTTATGGTTTATTAAATGAATTAGAATCCCCTCCAAGAACGGAGTGCTTTGTTAACGTCCAGTTTTATGTTTTCATTACGTCTGTGTATTTGGTCCATGTAAAATCCCGAAATGTGTTTGTGTTTTATTACATTTCACAGAAACCCTGCAGCAGATAATAGTTGATGATGTGGTCTAGTCAGCTCTTCCTGCTCTCACCTCATTTGAGGGAGAAAAACATTACAGTAACTTGAATTACTCTGGCAGTTTGCATCGACATTGATCCTCAGTATTGATTTTTTTTCTCTTTGCTTAATCGGGAAGCAGCACTTGACCCGTCTCAGAGAACGACGGCCTAACGACCTAAACGAACGACCTAAAGAAGGATCTCATTTTGCTGTTGGGATTTGTTTATGCAGTGTTTTATCACTGAATCATCTTGTCCAAAGTCTGTCTGATAACAGTGACCGCTGGTATGTCTGTGTCAACCAGGACACAGTTTTAAGGCATTAATATCCTGCCGGATAGGATTATGACTGGCCAATCGATGTTGGAGTAACTCTACACAAATAAGCATGCATTTCGTGAGCCATTTATGTAAATATGATATTTAAAAGGGTTTTGCCTCTGGATTATGAGACGGTTATTATTAAGTTGGGTTTTTTGCTTGTTTAGAAAATATCTTTCACCCCCCCCCCCCCAAGTTCCGCCGACAGCTTTTGTGTCTCTTACAGAAAAGTCTTTTTGTGTTATTACAGAAACAGACATTACATAACAGATGAGACTAGATGCATCACACATCTTTCACACTACCTCGAAATGGTTTTGAAATATCTTTAATCACCGTTTGCACATTTTTCGACTTAAAAATGACTGCATTTGAAATTGTTGATGTGATGAACACACATCAGGGTCTCTTGCATCACCTCGGAAAACGTTGCCAGATATTCTGCGTGACTGGAAAAAAAAAAGTCGTTGCCTTTCCAAGTAGTTTATCTTTAGCCCTCCACTGAACAGAACATGTAAAACAACAGCTTACATGTGTGAAATAATACCAGAAGAGGAAGTCCTGACCCTCTGAGGGTCACGATGGGCACCGTGCACCTCAGGTTACACTCCATCAATACTCTGTTGACAGGGGGTCTAAGAAGTAAATGCCAAACTTATACACAACTCAAGTCTGTGATTGACAGGACCCACAGTGGAACACTGGTATCTTTGGAGATCGCTTTAATAAAAGGAGTCTCTGACAGGGTTAGACCTTAAAAACTATCTGAACTTAACTGTTAAGCTCTTGTTAAAGACTTCAGCAGCAAAAAAAAAAAAATGTTTCTCTTGTGAACTTCCTTCGTAGGATTTCATGATTTTTCTTTTGCATAACAGCCCTTTACGCAAGCCATGAAGGGGGGGGTTAGGGGATATGAAATGTTCCTAATGTGAGGGCAGTGAGCACTGTCTCATGCAGCGATCTGACTTTGAGGGCAGAGGGAGCTCAGAGGAAAGCCGACAAACTCGGAGGGGACTGCATTAATTACAGCTTCCTAACCACTGCTACGTTCCCTCCCTCAGAGCCCCTTAAGATGGCAGAGACTCTGTATGATGGATTTGAGAAAATGGGAAAGAAGCAGAACAAGGAGCAGGTTCCACCACCTCCTGAGCCTCAAAGCAAGAAGTCTGCGTCCAGTAAACCATCCAAGAAAGCTCAGCCCAGCAGTACAGCCACACCTGTGTCATACAAGACTCTGGAGGAAGCCTTCAAAGCTGTAAGTCATCCCAATTTAAGCTGGCCTCCATGTGAAGATAATCACGTTTTTCAGATGCTTCAGAAAAACTAGTTTCTCCTGTACTTTTTGCCTCGAAATGAACTATTTAGATGATATTTCCATTCCGTTATCATTTGTGGGAGAATTGAGGGGGTTGTTCCGGGCTAACCAAATAACAGCAGTCTTTCATGGCCATAAATATCTTCAAACACACACTGTTACAAAGCTGCATTGTAACATGTTTGGATCTGAGTCACATGCCGAAAACACATCGTGTCTTTGTTCCTAAAAGCGCAGCTCTGATATTTTAACTTTTCTGCTTTGTGTTTAGCTGGATGTCGGAGACCTGAAGCAACAATTGGCTCGAAGTCAGAGCCTTTTTCCAGAAAACCCCTCAGTCTGGGTCAAAGACCTGGCAGGATACCTCAACCTCCACCTGACTGCCCCTGAGATCGAGCCCACTCTCAGCAGCTACCCTCACGGTCGGTTTCATCAGGTTCATTTCAATTTGTGTTTATGCTCCGCAGCTCCTTCTGATTTCATGTTCTCCTTGTTTTTTTTCTGCAGACTACCCCTACTGCCTTACAGGAAAGGAGCTGAGGGGCGTCATCAAAGGCCTCATGGGACGCTGTAACGACATTCTGCTGGATTTCTTGGACCACTGTGTTTACACTATGCTCAGGGAGCTGGACAGGCAGTCAGGTAAACCCTGTTCTGGGTCTGGTTGTCGTCACATGTGGGGATCTTTTTTTTTTTTTGTGGGATATAAAAACACAGCACAGACGACACAACAGATTTATTTAACAGATTGACTCTCAGACCACATGAAGATATTTTATTCTTCTTAAATATTTCAAAACATTAGATTCTCTCTGTGATTTGCTCCCCCAAAATTGATCTAAGATGACAATACTGTACAATTCTCAAAGCTAAGAATGCCCAAGGGGAGAAAGCAGTACCTCCTCAGTAAACACTCAGGTGGATGGAAATATTGGACAATTTTTAAAGGGTTTTTATCAAGATCAGAGTGCGTCATGCCACAGAGTAAACAACATTCAAACTCTCCTTTTTCACATAATCTGGGGCAGGAAACAGTCTGGGCCTCCAAATCTAAAATAAAAAAATGTGATCACTGATAGGGCTCCATCCAGCAGAGCTGTAACAAAAGAGTTTGAACCCGATTAACCCGATTGTTTTTCATTAATCGCAAAGAATTCAAGCTTTCATGAAGCCAGAAGAGGTCATTGAGGAATCAGCTGTGATTCTGTTCGTGAATACAGCTATTTTTCTAGTTTAGAATTTTTAAAAAAGTGTGTGGATTAAAAAGTTATTCATTTTTAGAAAACTTTACTGAATACCAAAAAAATAAAGAAACTGACTAAACATCCTCCAAAAGTGGTGCATTTTTCATGGGTTTTATTTGAAGTGATGGATAAGAAAGTAAAAAAAGAAACAGGAGAGAAACAGTACAGTAAGACGCCTCATTAAAACAGTATTTTAGCAGGGTTTGAAATGTCAAATTTTGTGGGTTCTGTTTCCTCTTGTCTCCAGGAGAACCTCTGCATGGCTACAGAGTTTGCATTCAGGCAATCCTTCAGGACAAACCCAGAATGGCCACCCAGAACCTATCAGAGGTGAGTCTGTGACTATTCAGTTAATTTGTATTCAACATTTCCTTTGAAACAACCTGCTCACATTTGCTCGCCATCTATTCCGAACCTCTGCTGCAGAGCAGGTTGTCCTTCCCTGTAACCTTGCGGTAAATTGCTGTAATGGATCCTTTTTCCTTCCTCTTCAGTATTTGGAGTTGCTCCGGTCGGTCCAGAATCGTCCAGTGAAATGTCTGACCATCATGTGGGCTCTGGGTCAAGCTGGATTTTATGATCTCAGCCAAGGTTTAAGAGGTAACGGTCAAGCACAAAGAAGATTCATCTACAAACCCTTAGACCAGCGCTGTGTTGGTTTAGCCTTTCTCCCAATTTCCAAACACTACATGTGCAGACGCACTCTGGGTTGGGGTTCACTGGGGCCTCCCGGCACACTCTGCTCCATCTTTGATGAGGCTGTAAGTGTGCAGTGTGTGGGCATGGGGAGGAGGAATATCTCTGGATTACGTAACAGCCTTCATCTGCGGAATGAGGTCATTCAAGACCATTTGTCTCCCTGAGAAGAGGAAGAGTCGGTAGAGACTCATCCTCAGCTGCTTTGCTGAGCTCCATGAGTAAAAAAGGATTGCCATGGAATTAACAGGATGGACTTGAGTCCCATCAAAGTCCTGTTTGACAAATCATATTTACTTTGGATAAGACCTGGCACATGTATACATCAAATTACATGATCCATGTCCAGTCTAACCTTTCACTGGATTGGTCGATATTACAACCTAACGACATCATTTCATGAAGCCGGTCGGTTTCCATTTGAAATTGACCTGGACTTAAAGTGCTGTTGGTGCGGCTTTAGATGTAATTGTGTCTGAAGACGATGTCATGTTTGAGTTTAGGCTGAAGTCCCGCTAAAACTGGCGTTATTGGTCTGATGTTTGCTCCGCAGTGTGGCTGGGCATCATGCTCCCGGTGCTGGGGATGAAGGCGCTGTCCTCGTATGCCATCGCTTATCTGGAGAGGCTGCTCCTGTAAGCCCGCCTCACACTGCTGTTGTCTGTTTTCTCTCTTTTTTCAATGATGACGTCTTTATTTCCTGTGATCAGTTACTTCCTGTGTTTTACACTTCTTTCTGTTTCTCTTTAAACACGGGTTACTAAATATTTCATTTTGATTTATGATAACCAAATAAGTTGTGTTGATATAATGAAACTTGTTTTAATGATTAAAAGTCATGTTATTGTTATTCTTTGTTATTGCTAATGAAATAACGTTTATTTTTTGCAAGAAGACAATCTATTTAACCCTCAATATTTCTTCATTTTGGAGATGCCTTCTTTACCTTTTTATCTGTATTTATCGTTTTTCTTCTTCCCTCAGAATTCATCCAAACCTGACTAAGGGATTTGGCATCATGGGCCCCAAAGAGTTCTTTCCTCTTCTTGACTTTGCATTCATGCCCAAGAATGCCCTGTCACCAAGGTAAATGTGCACTAGAACCAAAACAGACACTCAGTCAGGTAGTTCTTTTTCTTCTAATTTAAGGCTGTATAATCCCACTGTATTCAGAGTTATGCACAGCACGGGGAGGGGGTGTCGGAATAAGCTGCTTGGATCTATTACTCAAAATTAGACCTACTTAAACACCCCAAACTCATGGCTCTTGAGAAGCAAAGTTGAGCGGATGCAGTTGATTTTCTTATGTTTTTTTTAACAGCACCACTCATTAAGGCTCCGTTTGCTTCATCTATTAGTCATTGCTACATTTTTTTTTCTTTCTTTTTTTGGTCCTCATGCAGTTTGCAGGAGCAGTTGAGGCGTTTGTATCCCCGACTGAAGGTCCTCGCCTTTGGAGCCAAGCCTGAGAGCACGCTGCACACATACCTGCCGTCTTTTCTGTCCAGAGCCACACCGCACTGCCCCGATGACATGAAGAGGGAGGTGAGGCAAAAACACAGGCTTAAGATGAGAATGTTAACAAACGACTCCTAGTTTTGCAAATTTTATTTTCATCTGACGTCTGGCTAGATTTCCTGGTCTAATTGGCTGGGATTTAATTTGAAAAAATTCCTAAATTAGAACTTTTATGTCCCTCAGTGATTAAGTGTGGAGCCCTGATTAGTTGTCATCTCATAGTTGTTGTTTAGCTGATATTAAAAGGCCACTCAAGTGTTAATCTCATGTTTGTCATTGTCCGTGCTGGTTCTCAGTTATGTGCAGAATACTCTGACACCTGAATTAAAGCTGTTTGTCTTTTGCTTTTGTTTTTTCCAGCTTCTTAACAGTATGACGGAGTGTTTGTGTGTGGATGTACAGAGTCTTGGAGTGTGGAGGCAGCTCTACACCAAACACCTACCCCAGTCCAGGTGAATAGATTTGTATTTGCTGTTTCTGTGGCGTGTTTTCTCCTGAACCTTCAGCCTCTAATCCACTCTGTCCCTCTCCAGTCTGCTACTGAACCACCTCCTGAAGTCTTGGAATGTTCTTCCACCAAAGGTGCGACTTGTGATGCTTAGTCCCAAAGCAGGGTGACTTCCCGGAGACATTTCCATTAAAGCTTTAATGGGAGCAGCCCCTAAGATTTTCTGTGCTCTACTTTTAATTCCTAGCTGAGGAAGAACCTTGAAGAAACGATCCAGTCTTTTAAAGTGACCAACGAAGAGATGAGGGACTCCGTAGAGTCTCAGGAACTCCAGGAGTGTAATAACCTTTGCCAGGTGGGATGAAGCCTCCCAGCATGTCGTGTCGGGTGTTTCTCTGCTCAGCTGCTGAGTGCCGTTGATCATTCTGCTGTTCTCCTGCCGCTGCAGAACCTGCAGGTGAAGATGCGCGGGCACGGCTTCCCCTGGTCCAAGCTGCTCATGGTTCTGCTCGTGTTCGCTGCAGGCTTCATCGCCCACGACATCAGATCTCAAGGCTCATTTGCAGGTCAGACTGACGGTGTTTCTTTCCTCTCATCTCAGACTCAGCAGCTCCCTGGGGTTTGGCTTACAAATTAATTTTTTTAAAGCATCGAATTCAGTTTCGCAAAGGGGTTTAAAGGGGTTGTGGTCGTAAATTGGTTGAACTCTTTCTTCACACCAAAAGGATTCCACATAAGCCGAAAGAGCTCCTCCAACCACTGTTGTTCTCATAGCTTTTTTTTTTTGTCTTTCAGATTCTTTCACAGCCCAGTATCTGCACAGCTCGGGAGTCACGGGGGTGTCCCAGCAGGCCTGGAGCAAAATAACAGTCTACTCCAAGCAGGGCTTCAGGTACGACTCCCCTCACCAGGAGCCGACTCCTCCTTCTCACTGTCCACTTTGTACGTCCTTTGTGGTGCTTTTCATCTTTTGGACGTGGATGGACTTAACGGAATAAGAGCCCGAACAGCTGCAAAACAGCTGTGGGATGCTGTCCAGCATGAAAAAGATTTAGAAACGTTAAGCCGTTTCTCCCCAGAGCAAAATTTAGTTCTCACTGTTTCACTCTTCACGCAAACAAATGATTTACCTCTGGTTTTTGGATGTTTTTATTTTTATTTTTTTGCTTCCTCTGCAGCTGGTTGGAGAAAAACACTCCTTATTATTACTCTGAGTGTGTGCGGGTTTTGGGGCCTGTAATGGAACAAGGTTTAGTGAAGGCCAAAGCAGCAGCTGTCTCCATCTCTGAAAACACCACAGAGTTTATCCACTGGGTCAAAACCAGCACGCCGCTGGTCATAGAATGGGTGAGCCTGTCTGTTTCTGCCCCACGCTGTTTAATCAGAGTCCTCCTCAGTTATGGTTCTTAATCACAGCGACACACTGACGCTCTTCCCTCTTGTCTCCGTTTAGGTGAACACCAACACACCAGACAGTGTGTTCCAGCTGTTGGCGTACATAAAGGAGTTGCTCATCTTCATCCATCAGAGTTACATCCTGCCATCGCTGGCATACACGTCCCAGCTGTTCCAGCAAGCGTGGACCAGGCTGCAGGACTCCTGCAAGTCAGTATTTAAAGCAGCATCTAATTATTCCTGCTATCTATCCTGCTGGATTCCAGTTACAGGTTGTTTGAAGTTCGGTGAAGCCTCAGCCAAAAACACCAGACAAATGATAAAATCGCCACATTCGAAAGATGCTCCCTGAACTTTTTTAATTTTGTAAAAAGAGAATATAACTCAAATATAGCATAAAATAATTCAATTTGACATTCTGACTTTATGAAAGTTTTACAAATGGTATTTGGAAATGAAGAAACAATTAAAAAAAGCTCAGTTCCATAACCTGGAATAATTTTATACCATAAACACTAAAAAACTCCAACCAAAAAATAATTTGAAAGGAGCAACAATCTCAGAAACATTGTTCCACACACACTCGCATATTGGCCGGCAGGTTTTTAGATGGTTCCTGCTTCAACTGGCCTGATTCAGAGTGAGTAGATGGGGACTCAGGTGTGTGTGGAGCAGGGAAACATCCCAGACCCAAGACTCTGAGATCCCTGTTTCAGAGGGGAAAATGAGCCGTTTTCCTAATGTCATGTTTCCCTCTGGACTAACCCCGGCCCTCCTCTGCAGCGGGGAGGTGTCGGTGTCCTGTCTCCAGGGCCACGCTCTGACCCTCACCAACTCCACCTGGCAGCTGCTGCAGCACACCACCGCCGCCATCAAGACCTGGGCCCAGGAGCTGCTGACGCGAGCCGCATGAGGCCCGCCGACTCACACAGGGAACACACACACTAGTGTGCGCACACACACACACACACACCCCGGCCGGTGTGAGGCTGCCTCTCGGGGCGTCGGCTCCTCTGAAGACGTGATTGGACACTGTGGGGTCAGATGAAAACAGTCTCCCTCCAAAAAAAAGACCAGTCTTTTTCCTTTTTATTTTTTTTTTTCGGCTAAAATTTATTCGACCGCTTTGCTGTTGAATAGACGTTTGTTTGTTTGTTTTTCTACCAATCTTTTTTTGTCTCTGCTGGACGTGGAGGTTGTATATTTCCTCTCCTTGAGTTTTTCTACTGGAGGTTTTAGCTATTGCTTTGGCCTTGGTAAACAGGCTCAGTAATTTATAGAAAATGCAAGTTTGTAGATTTATAAGCCATTTTTATTTAAAAATAACTAAATAAGCATTCTTAGGAAACTTGTTAAGGAGCAGGGAAAGGACCATATACCACATACTTTGTGTCCCGGCCTGAGTGGAACCCCATCAGCCCCCCCCCCCCCCCCCCCCCCCCTGTCCCGTCTGTTATGCTTCAGTTGTGCGATGCCTGAGCCAGAGGTAGTGGTCACGCACTCGTATTTGGTCGATCACTTTCTTGATTTGTGTCTGTGTGGCTCAGCAAACTTACTGTATTCAAACGGGATCATGTTCAAATCTGTGCCAATGTCCCCCCGCACCAAAACATGAGCAGACCCCTTCTCCGACCAGCTGATCACTCTCAGCTTCTCCTACATGAAATCGGATGGACAAGGCTGTGACTAATGTCTTACTTTGTAATGCAAATCATTTATAATAAAGACTTCAACCCCATTGACTCTTTTATTGTATTGTTTTCAGTATTATTTAATATGAATCGATTATAGAACAAACCTCAGAACTGTGGCTTACAAATGCGGGTAAAGAAAACAAAGAGCTGTTATTACTCATTGTGCCTTGATGAGAAACTGATTTGTTGTTGATAAAGAAGATAAACTAAAGTGTATGGCAGGTAGAGTGGCTTTAGCTTTAGTTTACTGAAGTGAAACTTGGAGATGAACTGCCGGATAAAAGCTGTATTTCTATCCCCCTTGACTTCAGTGCGATATCGTGACCGGTATGACACAGAACCTGCTCCAGCCCCTTCGATAGCTCAGTTGGTAGAGCGGAGGACTGTAGAGTGCCTGCATTGAAATCCTTAGGTCGCTGGTTCGAATCCGGCTCGAAGGAGGTAACTTATTTTTCCCTCGTGTACCTAAGAGGGCAAAGCACAGAGATCATCAAAGACACGTAGTTGAAAATTCAAACGATGAAACAGCATGTGCTTCATCAATAATGGAGAAAGTCCAACCTGCACATCCTTTTAAGCCAATTATCGGGAGAGAACTGAGGAAAAGCCCACCAAGTGAGACTGTGCAGACAGTGCAGTAGTCCTTTACTTACGAAGTAAACTGTATCATGAAACTACGCTCCTCTCGTAAAACACAAGTTACTTACATGGTTTGCCTTCTTTAATGTCTCTTTCGATAGTGCGTATGATTTCATATTGTGGATTTATTTTGACACGTCACCGTGGCGCCTCCCACAGGGGGATTAGCTCAAATGGTAGAGCGCTCGCTTAGCATGCGAGAGGTAGCGGGATCGATGCCCGCATCCTCCAATAAGTTTTTATTTATTTTCAATTAAGTTAAAGAAGACTATTCGAAAATATGAATCTGTGAATATGGAGCCAATTTCCGCCTCGTGTAAAATAGCAATTGTGGCAACTAGCCTCCATCTTTATGTTTGTACAACATGTTACTATTTTAGAACATTTTAGTGTTCAAAATTGTATTTTCAGTCAATGACGGCAATAAGCTTCTTTAACATAATTTAAAAAATAGTCAAAAGGTTCTGGAGGATGCGGGCATCGATCCCGCTACCTCTCGCATGCTAAGCGAGCGCTCTACCATTTGAGCTAATCCCCCTGTCGGACATTCACCGAGGACGTGTAGTGTAATATACTCACACATCCACAGAGAACGTGGTCTTACTTTGGTGAAGTTAACAGCACGCGGTGGACAGTGTTAGAGGGCAAAAGCGAGATGTAACGCTGCCAATCCTCCGAAGCATTAAGTCTTCGTAATGTGGAAAACTTTAATTAATTTAATTTTAATTAATTTCATAACACAATGTCTTACTGGTCTAAAAGTTTCTGGTCTGAACAGGCTCTGTATTGCAAATCTTAAAATTAAATAGTTTTTCATGGTGTTTTTACTTTTAGAGGATAACAAATGACAATACTAGCACCACCTGGTAATGACTTTTGATTTTAATTAATACAATGAATCATATTCAATAAAACAAATACAGACAGTTGAGCAGATCGAGAAAGGGAGCAAGAAGGTTTTCAACTTCAACAAAATGTGGTTAACTCGAAGGATTAAACACCCATAGAGACACCGCTTTTATGTTTCTGTTTTTAAAAGCACTGCTCAGTAATCTGACTGCGTCTGGGAATATCTGAGCTGCTGCGGTCTGCAAATGGCTCTTTGACAGTGTTCTCCTGTGATGAGGACGCGGCCCGGCTCGTTCTGAACGGAGAGTCTGGAACACCAGTCGCTGCACCACCCCTCGCTCGTCCACTTTCTGCTCCAAGTGTCCGAAAGCAAAAGCGTATCCACTTGTCCGTGTCCTTAAAAATTCATAGTCCGTGCAGAATGGCTGCGAGCGGAAGCAGCAGCGGAGCGTCCCGACAGCAGACTTGCTTGCTGTTTCATATTCCCTTCTCACATGAAGTCATCCGAGTCGTAGCCATCCTGAACACAGTGGACACAAGACCAGTTTGGTATGTTGGTCAGGAAAAGGCCTTTCTATGTATTTGTTGACTAAAAATAACACAAACGTGATTTAAGATGCTTTTCTAAGTCTAAAAGTACATTCTAACAGTTCAGGATAGGAATGATGCGCTCCATTGTCCAATTACCTCATTTGTTTTCATATTTTCATCTTTCATCAGTGAAGTATAGTTCCTAAAGAGTACAAAGATACAGATAAAAAACATTATATGTCATTTTATGATACAACTGTGTCATATTCCTCCAGGTGGACGGGACAAGGCCATGAGGCGGGGTAAAGCTGAGGGAAAGCTGAATTTTTCACAGAAATGTTTTCCTGATTTACCTCAGTTCCTCCATCTCCTTTTTCTTCTTCTGCTCATCTTTCTCCTTCTTCTTCTGCTCCTGAAGTAGGGCTTTCTTCTCATTCCTCTCTTCCTGATCTCTCGATTCCTTCTCGGCTGCCAGGTCCGGGAAGCTCTCCACTTTTGTTTTCTCCAGACGGTTTACGATCTCGTTAATCTTCTTCTCCACCGCCACGATCTTCACCTGAGAGACACAGCAAACATTTGGCAAAGAGGCAGAATGAAATAGCTATATCTGCATCCTGTGAGGTCCAGCCCAGTACAGCAGAAACATTTAGCTTTGTCATCTCTGTGCTTTTTTTTCAGGTTAACCTCTTTGTGCCGATGGAAGCCAATTTGTCCCACGTCCATGTCTCCGGTTTTCTTCAGGTTTGCCCACGGAGTGTAAACCACGTTGATGTTGTTCATCTTGCAGCCTGACAGCACACAAAACAAGCAGCTTTATTAAAAAAAGAGGCAAAAAGAAGGAATGAACCATCAGGTGATCCTCCACTCTCGTTTTTCTAACCTTGGATGCTGTTGTTTTTCACCAGCTGTGCACAGTCTATCAGAACCTCTGGAGGAATATCATGGATCGTTTTTCCCTGTAAAGGAGCCATGAAACAGACATTTACCACAGAATTTATGAACCATGGTTTTGTTACTTATACATAAAACTGTCATTTACTTCATTAATTAATGATCATTAAGCCAATTATTGTCTCTACAACTGTATATAATCCAACCAGCCAACAGTTATTGTCATTTGAAATAAAAAATAACTACATTTTTAAAGCTGAAAGCAGGCTGAGCTCACCTTTGGCATTCTTAAATAGACGTGAGCCGAGGAAAGTTTGTCCACATGAAACCTGAAAAAATGTGCACAATTTGGATGAAGAAGAGGTTTCCAGTCATTATTTATATAATATATATCATTTATATACGTCAACAACTAAGTCCAGCTTCAGGATTAAAAGCATTTAACATTAAACATTTTTCACACATTTAAAGTGCTAAAATCTTTTATTCGAATGACTCTTCTTATAAAGTAGGATTTTAACAGCCTGCTACTTTGTTAGGATGAGCAGCCTAAAGTAAAAGAAAGTGGTGACACACCAGATGTCCTCAGGCCACCCGAACTTTATCAGATCCTCATCTGGAGACAGAATAACACCAACATTAATTTTGTGGCTGAATAACAAAGAAAGGAACGCGTCGACCTCGAACCATTAGCATCCAGATATCAAAGGAAGACCAACTTACTTTCATGTTTGTCTTTTCCCATGTAGATCGTGAAGGGTTGGTCGACCACTGAATAGCAAAAGAGAACCAGGCAGAGTGAGACAACAGCTTGTACAAAACACGCTTAAAAAGCTACAGGCTAAGATCGCTGCTAGCCAAAGCTCCACCCGACTCACCGGCACTTGTGAAGTAAAACACCATTTTATAGAGATTGAAACTCGCCCAAACAAATGGAAAGTGTGTTTTTAGTTTATGAGCTAACACTTTAATTTCATTCACGATGAAAAAACATTAGCTGTATACCCACTGACAGTAGCTACTGTCACTTTGTGCATGCACTACTTGACCCGGGAAGTTGTTAGCTTGCCCAATGAAGCTACATCAGTTAGCATGAAGACCGGAAGTAGAAGTATTCACCTACAAAGAAAAAAGTCGACCGTTTTATTTATTCAAGCACTTCTAGAAAATTGACTATACTACGTCTTCTTTATATTTATATGTTTATGTTTTAAATAATTGTCATATTCTAAAGACTTTTTCTGACTTTTAGTCCAAACATTTAATTACATTTTTCTTTAAAACAGACTTTCATTGTGGTAAAGGAACACATAACCGCGTCATTTCCTGTTCCGTTTTTGCGTAACTAATTTCAGGCTGGCGCGCGCGCTGTTCAAAACACTGGGAGCAGAAACGCGCGAGGATAAAACTGCACAGCCACCAACAATTACAGCAGGTTATTGTTATAAAAAGCTTTCCGGTAAGTTGATAGAGCATGTCTCATTTCTTGTTTTTATAAGGACTTAAAAACACACCTGTCTTTCCTGTTAGTCGCGCCTTATTTATTTAAAAAAAAAACGCTTAAATTAATACGTTTTAACTCGTCAGTCAGAATTTCGTGTTTTACTCTTGATTTATGGACTTTTTCTTGAAATGTGTGAATAATTAGTCATGTTTAATGTCTGGACTACCCCTGAACGACACGTAAACGCTTGCTAGTTTTTAATGGACGTCCGAGTCACCTTTGCATAAGCTAATCATCCCGCCAATTACGCCTCCGTTTGCTCCTGTTTGCGCTCTTTTCCTTTTCTTACCTCTAAACGTACATTAAACATACTAATTTTGCATCCTGAGCATTTATCGATATTGCCATCGACACTGTAAATTATCACAACGATCTGTGGGCTTTAGTTCATTACTGTGGCCTCTCAACTCGTTCATCCTAAAAGAGTCACACCGAACTCCATCTGGAAATCCTCCAAATAGTGCCACACAAACTTTAAGTTACATTTTTGTGTTTTCTCTTGTTTTACTTAACCTGGATTGTTTGCACTACCTTATCCAGGCTGTTATTAGAACCTAATTTTCTTTGCCATCCCAAAGGTTTTAGCCTTTATGTTGTCCTTTTACTGTAATTCTTACTGCTGTTTAATGGATTTTCTTAAACAATGTATTCCAGCTAAAGCTTTTAAGATGTTGTTATTGTTTGCCTAAAACAGCCAGATTACACTAACCCCCTTCCATACATGTAATTTAACTTAAGGATTGTGAAATTTGTGTTCTGGAACATCCAATTTAGTGTTAACTATTAAGTTGGTATCTCTACCAGCTCGAGTTTCTTTGGGGTTTTTTGGGGTTCTGCAAATTAATCAAATGTTTTACGTTTTTTTAATTCATTCTAGAGGTTCTCAGTGTCACTGTGTGCAGGTGAACTTTAAAAATGATTCCCACCGCGACCAGGAAGCGAAAGCTCCCATCTGTGGACTCAGACAGGTAAACTGTCACAATTAACCAGTTTCTTCAGCTTTTCTCAGTGTTTCAAACTCTAGTTTCACTGTGTTGATTTACTCTAATTTTCAATGTTTTTAATCTATTAAAGACATAGAAAGGTGGTTTTGAACCTGTTGCCTTGTATGGATGTATGCCTTGATGCAATCTTTTGTCACTCGTACATAAGTAACCCAGCAAAAAAGGTCTTGGAGGAGTTGTCCCCAGTCAAGAGGAGATCTCCGAGGGAAAAGCCAGCTGAGCATCAGTCTGCACAGAAATCCCCACTGAAAGAAACAGGTGGGACACACTGCTGTATATAAAGATTGATGGGCCAGAGGTACTGATTTTTACTTTTAACTGAGCCACTGAAGGTCACCATAAATGGTATTTCCTTCTTTTTATTTTTTAAGACTCACCGACCAGATCTCCTCGCAAATCTCCACGGAAACCTTCTGTAGTTACGAGCTCCTTCTATGGGAAACAGAAGCCCATGTATCTCACCCCACTTGAGAGAAAGGTGATAAAGGAGTGTTTGCCCTCTCATCATGCTGCCCTTCCCTCTCCTCCTCCTCCTTTGGCTAAAAAGGCAGCAAAGAAAACGAGTAAAAGTACCAAGACTGTTAAGAAAGGCAGCAAACCCAGGAAGAAATCTTTAGGATCTAATAAAGGAGGGAAGATGGACAGCAAAAGTTACTTAAAGGCTACAAAATCCATCAGTCTGTCCGAGCTGAAGAGCAGGTTAGTTTTCAATAACGTCATCCCTCTGACAATACCTGCAGCTTTTTTGCTCTTAGATCTCACTTCATTTAGTTAATATTTAGTTAATAATCCTTTTGGTTTTTGCAGAGCTGCTGCTAAACCAGCATCCAGCGTTGCCACGGCGCCCGCCAGCAGCAAACCGGTGGACTCCAGGAAGCCCGCCCCCCTCGTTCTCAGCACCCTGAAGCCCAAACCCAAGATCTTTGTCGGAGCCGCTTTCTTCGGCACGGGGAAGAAACCCAGCTCAATGTACAAGAGATCTGCCCCAAAGGCTTCCTCCAGGCCGGGATCTGTCACGGCGAAGGCCAAAGCGGCGCCAAAGCAGCAGAAACAACAGAAACAACAGCAGGAGGAGGTTCTGGAGACGAAGCAGGAGGAACCACAGCAGGTGTGTGTGTGTGTCTGTGTGTGTGTGTGTGTGTGTGTGTGTGTGTTTTGGAGGCCAGCTGTGAATGAGACGCTTTCTGTGGCTGCTGAGTCTTAATATTCCTTCACTTCATTTTGAACATTGGTATAGACAACTTATTATTTTTTTAATATTCATCATTTAAAATAACTGTTTGACTGCCTTTAGATAGAAGGACCAGAGACTGTTTAACATCCCAGCGACGCTTTTGTTAAAAAGATAAACCGAAAGGATGTTGAGTACAGAGCTGAGCATCTTTTTAAGCCTGTTTGCCTGAATATTATTTTTAAAAGGCGTAATCAATTTTTGATTCTGAGAATAATTGCTTTTCTGCAGCGTAGTTATAATAAAATATTCCAAAAAAGAGCTATGTTTAAGATAAACACGCATGCATTTTTATTGTCAAAGACCGAGAGCTGCTGAGAGTAAAGGTGGATCTTTATTCACCTTATTTTCAGTTTCATCAGCAGATCTGAGAGTTGTTTCCTGAATCCTAAAGACGTCTTTGTCTTTAGTGTGTGCCACACTAAATATGAATTTCAGATACCTTCAAGTTAATGCTAATGCTTTGTTTTCTGGTCAGCAAGTGGAGGAGAAGGACCATACGAGCAGTAAGCAGAGAGTGGAGTTTGACCCCACAGACTGGGACGACTTTGCTGACGAAGACCCTCAAACATTGAGGTGCTTTTCTGATTTTATTTTGAACTAATAAGAAAACAAGTCTGTTTTTGGTTTCTTTAGTTGAATTAATGATGAATAAAATCCACCTTTTCTCACTCAGCCCCCCAAGTTCACGGATGAAAACATACAGAATCAACCAGGAGCTGAAGATTGTGTTGTCCAGGACCCCGACGCCAAGTCCAGGCTCTGCAGTTTCAGCCATAATTGCCAAGGTGTTTTTTTTTTTCTATCTGAATTTTTGGATTTGGTCCTGTTTGTTGTTGGAAAAAATCTTTTCCTTTTCTTTAGTTGATAGTTGACCAAATGAGATTTTTATAGAAATTACAGCTGTTCAGTGATTTCTGTCAGAAAGACACATGAGAATATTCATGTTATTGTAGCTTCAGGGGTTTTGAAACACGACTTTTATGTCAAAGTTTTCTATTAAAAGATGGAGAAATTTAAATATTGTGTTTTTGTCGTCAAATAAAAGCATATATTTAGCTAAATAGTTTTTATTTACATATGATTTTGTTATTCTGACCATTAACTTAATCCTAACCTTTTCCCAGGATGACTCTCTAACTTTAGAAGACCCTGAGCCCAGCTTTGACATCAGTGAAATAAATTCCACTAAATCAGCCTCAACCCCATCTAGAGGTGTGTGCATGTGCTCTCTGACTATTTTTTTTTTTACAAAAGATAAGATTCCCATTTGCTCAGTTCCCTTAAATGCTTTTTTTTTTTTCTTCCAGAGTCTGCAGCAGCTGTGTATCCCATATTCGGTTCGGCCTCAAAAAGGTGAGAAAAAAAAACATTTTTAGAGCATCATCTCAGAAAAAAATGAACGTAGAGGGAATATTTCAGCCTCTGAAAGTCACTTCAGTCACCAGGAATAAACGCTGTACTGGTTGTTGTGCTCAGCCGAAACGTGATGGGGAATAGTAATGTTTGGTCCTGCAGGTCAAAGGTCGCCGCTCTGCGGCCGGCGTCCTGCAGCACCCCCTCCGGATCGGGGACCCCGCTGCAGAATCCCCCCGCCGCCTCAAAGGAGAGAAACCTCCGCAGGAGGAAGGAGAAGCAGGACAGCGACCAGCTCATTATCGTGAGACCTGGATTTCAAATCTTATTCCGCAAACTGTCTTTATTTCCTATTAAGTTATTTCCTTTATGCAACTAGTGCTCTAAGTTCTAATTTATTGACCCCAAAAGTAGCATTTATTTTTTAAATCAGACTGTCCAGTCTGCTCGATTTCACACTCAAATGTGGCATCAAAGAAAGTTTGCATCTGCTGGAAATGGTTTGAGTCCCAAAGCCGTTTGCAGCCTTCGGGTTTGATCTGATTCTGGTTTGTTAGGACGCCGGTCAGAAGCAGTTTGGAGCCAGAACCTGCGTCTCCTGCGGGATGGTTTACAGCGCCGACAACCCGGAGGACAACTTCCAACACACCCAGTTCCACCAGAGATTCCTCAACTCCATCAAATTTGTTGTACGACATCCCTTCCTCCTTCAGTTTTTATGCAACTGAGTCTGTAGAAGCCTTAATTTACTCCAACTCTGTGGCTGAAACTGTATGAAATGGGAATTGTTGCGTTTCAGGGTTGGAAAAAGGAGCGAGTGGTCGCTGAGTTCTGGGAGGGAAAAATCATCCTGGTCCTGCCCGACGATCCCAAATATGCAGTTAAAAAGGTGCAGAGCTCGATGCAGTTTTTGTTTTGTTTTTACAAGCTGAAAAAAAGCTTTTCAAGCGAGATAGACGAGAATTGGATGAGGAGCTGACTCTGGTCTGATGGTTTCAGGCTGAGGACGTGCGGTGTGTAGCGGACAGCGAGTTGGGCTTCCAGCAGGCCACTCTGAGCCGGCCGGCGCAGGCCAAAACCTTCCTGTTCATCAACTCTGAGCGGCTGGTGGTGGGATGCCTGGTTGCTGAACCCATCAGACAGGTAGGGCTGACTCCATAAGCCCCTTTGTGTGCTAAACAGGTTTGCAGTGAGACGCTTTTTAAAAAAAAATTTTTTTATTTATTTATTGTGGAAGAAAAACATAATAGTAATTTACAAATAGCATAGAATCTGTTCCATGTTTTGTTTTTGTTTTTTATACACACAGTACCCAATATCTTTCACTTGTAGTGGTCAAAGAAAAAACTCACACATACATACACACACAAACACACACAAAAAAATAAAATAATAATAATAATAACAAAAATAAAAATAAATACTAAAATAAATAAATAAACGGGGTGGGGGGTTGAGTGAGACGTTTTAAAAAAAATTTAAAAAATCAAATCCTCTCAGGCCTACAGAGTCCTGGAGCAGCCGGACCGTCAGAAGGACATGAGGAGAGACGACTTCATGGAGCGCCACCGGGCCTGGTGCTGCTCCACCGTGCCAGAGCCCGCCCTGTGCGGCATCAGCCGGATCTGGGTCTTCAGCCTGGCCCGGCGCCAGGGCATCGCTACCCGCATGCTGGACACCGTCAGGTAGGTCGCTCAGGCCGTTGGTCGGGTTCAATCCTCACTAACGAACCCGAGGGGTTCAGAAGTAAAACGTTTAGTTTCTGCCTGAATCGGGCCTTGTAAGTTATTTTAGCAATTATTTTAACATCCGCAGTTTTCCAGCTGTGTTTCAACTAGAGACCAATACGTTCGATGGAACTTTGATAAATCAAACGTCACAAATGTAAATTGTTAAAAGGATTTTAAGTTGTACAAACTTTAAGCATTAGGCCCCATACGTTTTTTTATTTTGGCCACAAGTTTGTTACCAGGACATTGGTATGAGCATGAAATGTCACTATATTCAGAACAGTTTAAACAATCTATTCTTTAAAAATGACAGTTTGTAGCTAAATAGGCCTTTTACTTTAAGTCGTTGAGGAGAAACAGATGTTTACGTTACTGGTAGATCCCTACAGAGGAGCACGAGCCACAAAGGCGACATTAAGACTAAACAGCAGGCTTAAGAAAATACAAATATCTGGATGAAAAGGCTCAGCTTTCCTGTTTGAGCTGCTGTGAACAGACCGATCCAGAGAAGTGTTGAGAGGTTTGCTTTCATGGGTTTTGTAGGAGCTCGTTCACGTACGGCAGCCATCTAACCAAGGAGGAAATCGCCTTCTCAGACCCGACGCCCGACGGGAAACTGTTTGCCACCAAGTACTGCGGCACGCCCGCCTTCCTCGTATACAACTTCGTCGCATGAAGTTCGGAGAGTTCACGTTAAAGGTGCAGCGCCGGGTTTAGGCGTCTCGTTCATATGCAAAGATCTTCAGGTTCCTCTGTGACTGTCAGGAGTTTTAAAATTTAAAGTCCAGCCTGTTCAGAATAGAGATTTTAGACGTTTTATGCTTCTGTATTTATTCTGTGCTGCTTGTTTTTTTTCCTAATGAGGTTAATTCACAGGATAAACAAAATGTTTTTATGTTATCTACATTTCTCTTTTCCCCTTTGGGAGGACGAGCTTGTTTTATGGAGGGAAAATGTTCACGCACACCAACTTTTGTTGTAAGGTGGATGCCATTACGAAGAAGCATTTCTACTTTGTACATAGATTTAATAAACTGAATGCCTTTGTTTCATGATGGCAGCCTGTTCTTTATCCACCTTAACTACAAAAAGCTGTCAAACTGTTGAAATGAGACAGAAATGCTTATCCAATTCATCTTTTTATTTATGTCCTAAAAATATCTCTAGATCATATAAAATGTCTTTAACTGAGAATATTTTTATCTGAGTAATGACTAAAGGTGAGACATGCATACAGAATAGTTTCATATCACAGAAGAGAAACTATTCTTTGATAAATAAGTTGCCACAATTTACTTGAAGAGGTTTAAAGCTCCCACAGACTGAGGCAATAGACCCAACAAAGGTCATTACAGTTTGTATTTAAACATGAAATATAAGAGAAGTTTAACCAAAGTTCACTGTGAGCGACAGAGTAACAAAGTAAAAACATTTATATTGTCAACGATACAAGACAGAAAAGAGAACAGAGTAACATGAAAATGAAATTTTACATGTAGTTTGGGGAAATATATGAAGGCGGTTTCGTTCGTTCTGCCCTCCCTGGCCTGCTGGACCCTAAAGGCCACAGAATAATCAAACCTGGGTGGAAACATTTGGGAGGAGCTCAGTCGATAACGATCACCTCAGAGGGCGCTCTGTCCAGCGGGGCGTTGCTCTCTAAAGCCTGCAGGATCTGAGCTGCAGACGGTCTCTTTTTGGGGTCCTCCTCTGTGCAGACGTAGAACAGCTCCACCACCCTCCGGTACGAGCCGCCCAGAGCCTCTGCGTCCAGCTCCGGCCTCGTCCCCAAACGCTCGTAGTAAGCGTCCTCATCAAAGCTCTCCTCAATGGAGTCTGAAACACAAAAAAACCTTTTAGCTCTAAGGTGGAGGCTCCTGATGAAGAACCTTACCGCTTATGATTATTGGCATTTTTTTCTGACCTTCTTCTTCCTCGTCTTCTTCGTCATCATCATCCTCCAACATCTCCAGGTGAGGCATGGCCAGAGTCATCATCTCCCACAGAGTCAGGCCGTAGGCGAAGATGTCGGTCTTGTCTGTGATCTCTCCTCCCTCCTCCAGAGCTTCCTTTGGCTTCCACGGCTCCGTGCCGATGTACTCGGCGTCCGGGTCGGACACTGGGAACAGAAATGTGTCATTACTGAATAACACATAAATTCTGTTTACCACCATGGGACTGTCCCGTACAGGCCGATGGCGTGTGATAGAGACTAATCTGTTTCTTTCCAGGCAGAAAAACAAAGAAAATTCACTGCTACAAATTGTTTTTTATTATCCAAAGGCCTCTGCCAGCATCGTGCTTTAATGTAAGATTAATGAATAATAATATGAGCGCCACTTCACAGCAAAGAAATAGGCAGACTCAGTCACAAACAACTCCCAGCCAGGGTGCTTAAATCATCCTAAAGCTGTTCTGGCAAACAATCACACGCAGTTGTGCTGGCTGCCTCGTTTCTGTTGTGATGAGTCGCTCACTTCTCTGTGTGGCTGCTCTCACCTGCTCTAAAAGTCAAGACTGTGCAAAAATCTGAGCCGATGTAAAGAGCCACAAAGGTCTTTAAGTATAGTTCTTCCCATAAAGAACTATACTGTACATCAAAATCCCTCAAATGATAGATAAAGTGGGTTTTTACCTCTCATGTTCTCATCGAGCTGCAGAGAAACGCCCACATCACAGATCTTCACCGTCTCAAAGTCCCCTTTGATGACCACGTTGCATGACTTCATGTCACCGTGCAGCAGCTTCTTCTCCGTGTGCAGATACTGCAAAGACAGAGCACAACAAGCACATGGAGTCATCTGAGTAGTTTAGAGGAAATTATGAGCACCAGAAAAAACTAAAAAAAGAGAGGCCATGATCTCTGAGCGGGATTTACCTGCAGGCCGCGAGCCACGTGCAGCGCCACTTTCTCGATGTTGGCGGCGGGAAAAGCCTTCAGGCCCTCCTCCCTCCTCTTCTCTATCAGGTCGTTGAGGGACTGCTCTCCACCGTACTCCATGGCCAGACACTTGGAGCCATCTTTGGCTGTGGCAAGGGCTCGAAAACCTTAAAATAAAGACACAAATTTAACCCCAAGCGTGCGGCAGAGTGGACAACACGCCAGGGGCCAACTTTCACACCTGGCAGAGACTTTTTCCGAGCCCTTACCGACAATGTTGGGGTGACTGATTCCCTTCAGGACTTCTGCTTCCTCGTTGAGGCGCTTCTGGTAAATATCCAGCTGTTTGGAGGCACATTTGCTGTTGATCTTCTTCACAGCCCACGGCGATGCATTCAGCTTCCCCACTCTATCATTAGATTAATATGTTAAAAAAGAAACACACAAACACTTCAGAGGGGTTACATCCTGAGAAAAAAATCTAATGATTTCTAAGTAAATGAGATGTCTAGATTTTTTTCTTGATTTATTCAGATAATTATCAGTGATTAATCCGCTCAGTTACTTATTTACTTTACTTTAAATC